GAGTTCTCCCATGTTTAAATCTCTCTTGTGATTTGTTTCCTTTCCCCTCTCCCACAAAATGACGAAGATGAGGAAAAAAAGATGCACACAAATTAAAAGAGAATGAACAACAGGGTAAGACTCGTAATTTACAAGTGAAAAAAGAGGATATATATGACCAACTGATCATGACATAAATAAAACAAAGATAGAGAGATGCTTCTCTGGAGACAGCAACATTTTCAAAGGTCCTATCTATTTTAAGGACGCACATGTTTACGTTCTTGTGGTAGTATTGTGTTCGCATCGTAAAATTATCTTCTTTTGGATAAGATTATAGTTCACGTCAAAAATACTATATTGTAACTTGGTCATCTACGCTCATGCATGCATGGGTGATACCCTCCCTGCCAAATCTTCCACCGACTTCGACTTGTCTCCATAAGCAACAGAAAATGCTTTTTAGGACATGAATTCCCAAAGATTCTACACATGCATTACTGAACCGATGTGGTGAATTTGTTCGAGTCTTTAATCGAATTAAATTATGATTTTAGAGTATTTTAGTCTTTCGTCGAGTCTTTTACATGTTTTAGGTTACTTTGGAGGAAAACAAAACATTTTTGTTGCAAATATGAAGGTACACAATTGTACAAAAACATCACAAGTTTGACATTCTTTTTAAAGATTTTCCGTATTTGGATAAAGCGGAAATTTGGACACGAGATAGCCTCGTAGATTATCTTTCATTTGGCGGTCCTTTGAGGTCATTCCGATTATTGGTTAGATAGTTGTGTCAGTTTCATGAAAGCGTGTAAGTTTGGCAAAGCAAAAAAACGAGACAGCCAATTTGATCGGCTCTATCGAATGTGACACTTTTATTTCTCTCTGTCTCTCTATATATATCAGTTCTTTGGGAAATCATTCCGATCTTCTCGTATTGCTGCGTCTTCTCCAATCATGCTAACATGTTCAGAAACAGGGGTTCTTTTGTTTTCCATGTTTTATGATCTATTGTTCCCAATCATTTAGTTATGAATCTTATGATCAAGATTTCTATGTATTCCAACTTCTTCTTTTAAGTAATTAGGATATTATTCTAAAACAATCTAATTATAATGTGGAAGCTATCCTTGCTTTGCCAAGTACTGGATCGTGGAAACCATGCTCAGCTCAGCTTTCATAACCTTGCTTTGTCAGGTATTTCTTGCAACTATTTCGTATCTGACCTTAAGGTTATTAGTTGAAGCTTCTTAGACGAGAGAAAAGTTCATAATTCTTGAAAAAATTATATGCTTTCTTATCAATAGAGGTGAACATTTTATATAAGAGAAGATTGAAAAGTACTTCAATGCTTTCTTATTATCAGCAGAAAAAACCATAAATTCATCTAGTTTGTCTCCACAAAAGGAAAGCAATTATAATAACACAGCAATCACTGAGGTATGTTAGAGCTCCGTGACTTATTGAGGAAAAGAGAATCGATCGTCTTGTTTAAAGCGACATAAAATATGGTTACAGTTGAACCAAAACATAATCCGTAAACCAGAAATTTTCAGATCCTCACTTCTATGCTCTTCTCTAGTAAGTGCTCTTTCACAGTTTGGATTGGTACCTTCATAAATAGTGTTACCAAAGGAGGTATAAGATTTCGCCAAAGGTTTAAAAGAGAATAAAAATGGTTACCTCTTTCCGGTGGAAAATTCCAGCAGCAAGGGCAGCAGATGCGTTAGTCGTCTCAAACACCTCAGAAAAGTGCTGGGGAGTGCCTGCTCCACTGCTTGCGATCACCGGTATGCCTACTGAATCAGAGATGAGCTTTACCAAGTCTATGTCAAATCCTTTCCCTTGACCTGAAAGTCGCAGAGAAGGAAGGCATCATGAGAGAAAAATTTTAGCATACAATTGAATTTAAACAAAGCAGTGGCTTTGTTTCCGTGGTTTATATTCGCTCCTCGTCAAATGTTCCAAAAGTATATATATGAAACCAATTAAAAAGACTTCAATGACTTTTTGAGTGCACACACCATCACAGTCTATGCAGTTCAGTAGAATTTCACCAGCTCCTAATTCCTCAACCGCTTTCGCAAGTTCGTACGCTCCAATAGGCCGACCTTCTCGTCCACCACTGACCTTTTAGTAGATAAACCAGTAGTTAAGGAATGAGGAAAATCAATAAATAAAATGCAAAGGGTGGCTGGAATTTTACCGTGCACTGGTACCACGCATATTCTTCCCCATTTGGGCCTAACAACAGCAGAACTCCGGGTTATTACATTCAGAAACAAAATTTATGGAGAAATTCTATTCAATGAGGTTGCGTTCTTAGTAAAGTACAAGGAACTCGGGGATACAAGAAAAAGATTGACACAGCGACGCAGGACAAACCATAACAAATGTTTGTTTAGACCATGATAAAGCATATATAAGAGAGGTGAAAACACCGGCATACCTGGGTTAGTTAATCTGATGACCTTATATGGCACATCATCAGGATGGTTCACATAAACTCTACGAGGATCAATACTTACAACCACTGCCTGTGAAGTGAAAAATTATATCAATCAAGTGAGGAGCTGCATCCGATTTTACACGGAAATTAGGGAATATAAGAAAAAACTATCTAAAAGCAGTCCAACAAATATTCACTGTTTATTCCATCTGTACTAAGCTATTGATATCCGTGTGTAGAGTGACAAACATCCCATATTTTCTACAAGCTGAGGTTCTGGACTGGGTAAACAATTACCTGATTTCCATAAACTCTAGATATCTGTTCTAAACTACTCTTTCCAGTCTTCACCTACAAGAAAACCAAGAAAAGGGGATTAAATGATCCTTCCTATATTAGATGCAAGCAGGAACAACAATTCCGATAAGCTTTCACGGCAAGTATAAGCTTACCCCTGATTTCATAAACTCTTCCGCAGCGTAAACAGCATCACTTCCAATGGATATCTTGTCCGCACCGGATCTGAAATACTCAGCAGCTACTTCCAAGCTAGAATAATACCTGAGCCAAAGTAACTTGATATTGAATTGTTGTGGATGACAAAAATTGCAATGTCCTTGCTCAAACAAAAAAGAAAGAAACAAAATCATGTTCAAAGAAACTGAAAAGAAAACCCTTAAATATGTACCTGCCGCTAGCATCTGTAAAATCTCTAATACCACCTCCGACAGTTAGCGGTACAAAGACATTCTCTGATGTGTACCTCAACACCTATAAAGAAAGTAATGTGATCTAAATCAGAATCTACAGGTATGAGTAACTACAGAAGTAATACTTAAATTCTTGTGAAAAAAATAACAAATCTTGGTACCTGTATCATCGGCAAATCCCCTAGAGGAAAATCCCGGAATCCAGTTATGTTCAAGAAGCTAATCTAAAAACAACAAGCAGCATGGTTAAGTGCCAAACCAAATCTAAATAAAGATGCCTTATTCCAGTCAAAATATATACTCTGAAAGCATACCTCATCTGCACCATCTTTGTAATACTGCCCAGCCAAATCCACAGGTTTGCCAAGGTTTCGAACCTGCACAACAAAGATTTATATATTCAGAGTATTAGGTCAGACAGTAATAATTAGTTAACCCCAACACCTCTCCGGTAAGATATGGCTTGTTTCGCAAAAACATCCAAACACCAACAATGTTTCAGCTTTTTACAAATAACACTGTACAGGACACGACATTGAAGATACAATTTCAACAGACCTCGTTTTCATTAGATTGCTCTCTCACATCATATTGGTCCCCTTTCGTTACTACAAGATCTCCTTTATCATTACTCCTCACATCAAGACAAGCAATAACCTGAAGAAAAGGAAAAAAAATCATTAGAAAAACTGGCCACCGGTAAGACATCAGTGCTGTGGAGTAAACAGACTTCGGATAATAACAGGACAAACTGATTACCCGCTTTGCAAGTTTTGAAGCCTTCCCTTCCATTGGCTTCTGTCTTCAAGTGAAATGTGGTTTCCATTAGACATCAAAGAAATCAGGAAGCTTACACAGTACACATAAGGCTAGAGTGAAAGCTACCTGTGTCGCGGGTAATTTAGGATCCAAGAACCTTCTTAAGACAGAAAGCCCCGTTTCTAAAATTTCCAGATTCAGAATTAGTACGATACTAAATATGAAAATCGACTTTGAATAAAGACAAAGTTATTAGCAAAAAAAGTTACTAGAGTAAAATATCATACCCCCACTCTTTTCAGGATGGAATTGGACTGCATGCACATTTCCCCTTCTTATGGAAGATATAAATGATTCACCATAGTTGCAGGTTGACGAAATCCATTCCTTATTTTCATTTGACTACATAAATTACAAAAGTAAAATTAGAAAAAGCATGTAGAAGAAGAGGAAGGCAATGACACATATACGATAACGATAGAAAAAGAAAAGCTTATTCAGATCCATACCGGAATGGCCCGGTATGAATGAACAAAATATACATGACGATTTCCAACATCATCCAGAATTTCAGAACCCTTGCCCACTTGCAAAGCATTCCATCCAATGTGGGGTACTGTTATACCAGCAGAAGAATCAAAGCGTCCAACTGTTCCCGGAATCACACCAAGACCTTTGACTGACACAAATATACAGTTAAATAAGAAGAAAATACACCATCATGTATTGAGTAGAAGAGAATATTATGAATGGAGCTCAACCTGGTCCATTCTCCTCACTAGACTCGAACAGTAATTGTAGGCCAAGGCATATGCCTAGAAATGGACGGTCATTCTCAATATATGTACACAAGGCTTCAGCCATCCTACAAACATAAAAAAAAAAGCAAACAAAAAATAGTATATGAAGAAGTAAAACTAAACAAGACATGTTCACTGCAACACCAGGGAATGATTGAGAAAACATTATAAGGAATATTAAGCATGAGATGTGTTTGCTACAATTCGTAATCTCGATGGCATCAAACACAGTTCTTATATGTTGGTGCTAATTGATATACAACCAATCAATCAAATAACAGAGGCTATTATGATAGGTACCAACCCGGTTTTGTTAAGGACATCCATGGCGGGTGCAAAAGCTCCAACACCGGGAAAGACGAGGCGATCAGCATTCAGAATGTCTTCCGGCGTTTGAACCTGACATTTCAAGTTCCCCAATCACATCAATTTCACCACTATAAGACTACATTTTTCCCACCCAGTAATCAAAACGGATAAAAAAAAAAACCCACGTCTTTGATGCTTAACCCGAGATGACGAAGAGCGTTGCGGATACTCCGGACATTCCCGGCTCCGTAATCAAGCAAAGTCACAACTACTCACCATAG